ACGCGCCACCATGCCCAGCTAATGTTTTTATATTTTTAGTAGAGACGGGGTTTCACCATGTTGACCAGGATGGTCTCGATCTCTTGACCTCGTGATCCACCCGCCGCGGCCTCCCAAAGTGCTGGGATTACAGGCTTGAGCCACCGCGCCCGGCAAGACTTTAGATTTTTGTTTGCTTTGAAGGTATCAGTCTATGTAGTGATGCTTACAGACACATGACAAAAGTGAAGCTATTTTAAGCAACTGTGAAATTTCTTTAGCGACTACAATTTCACGCACAGTTAGCTTAACCTCCATTTCATCCTTTTATGTTTTACACATCAGTAGCATTCTCTTTCTGACAGCCTGAAGTTTAAAAGTTGCCATTGTCTTGAATAATGCTGTTTAAGCTGACTATTCCTCTGCAACTGGCTACACAGTAACCATGCAAATTGATATCAACTAAATGTTTTGATGCTCTTCTATCTGAATTAAGAAAAATTATGTGATTTATATAAAATGTCGTCTGATTGGGCCTCAAAGCCCAATTTGGGAACATATTCTTGAAAAACATCAAGTAACAGGAGCCATTAAAGTCTGTGGTAAACTGAAAAATAAGGATTTCATAATTTTAAATAAAAAATAGTAATGGAATTCTATTATTGTTAAATACAAATGGCAAAAGGGGACTTCAGAAAGCCAGTCCAGTGTTTTATATGGAACCCTTTCAACTTCTTAAAGTAACTCTGTGAAGCAGATCTTACTATTAACATTTCAAGATAAGAGGTAAAACAGCATAGAGGTTTAAAAACTTGGAGCTCTAGAATCAAACAAACCTGAGATGAAACCAGGTTTTGACATCTAATTGCCAGCTAACCATTGGCAGATTATACCCTAGTTTCCTTTTCTGTTAAATAGAGATAATGTATTTACATTATAGGGTTGTTGTGAGGATTAAATAGAGAATGTAGGTAAAACACTTAGCATATAACCAGTATAAAATAAACACTAAGGTAAAGCAATGTAATTACTATGACAAAATTGAAGATTCTGGAGTAAACTGCTTGCTCAAAGTCATGAAGTCAGTAAGTAAAGAAGCTGAGATGAAAATTAAACTCAACAACTCTTATAAAAAGAGAGAAAGAAGCTTCCAGTGAAGTATACCTGTTAATATTACCTCTGTACTGTCTCTGGCCTGTTGGAGTGAATGCAAATATCAAGGCAGAGCGTAATACACATAAAAAAATAATGCTATTATATAAAGCAGGTGACTTAAAATTAGTCCAGTTCCAACTAGATAATGGAGTGGGAAGTAGAGGGCATCCAACTACATTCACAAATTTGTTATACACTGTTAGGTCTACTTACTCAATTCTAGTATAATAGATTAATATTGAAGATAAATATTATTATTATTTATCCTATTATCTGAAAAGTGAGTCTTTAAGTGAAAACAAAAGCCTTTTATGAAATCCCTGACCTGTTGAATTGTTTGCCAGAAAAAGTAATGGCATGACTTGGTGATCTGCAGCCTACACTTCTACTGGTATTTTGTGAGGTGATCAAGATGTTCTAAAACTCAAATATAAGAAACCTCTTCTAAATGTGGAGTTTTGTTTTTTTTAAATATTACTTTTAAGCTTTTCTTTTCCCATTTTTTCTTAAGCCTCTGAAATCTGATACCAGGTGGTAGATTACATATATAAATAAGTAACAAAGGAATGTTAGTAGAAAAATCTGAAATAATTGTGATGAGTTTGATAGCTTGGTTTTTTCAAATATTATTTTTACATTACAAACATACAGCTCAATTTATTTTCTACTGTAATGTTACCTCTGATTTCAAAAATATCATGGTTTCCTCCTGATCTGTCATCTGAATAGTGAAAACCAATAAATAATATATTTTATTCTAAACTGACTTTAAAATATGAGTCTCCTTCAATTTTCTGATTAGGTTTGTCATAGAAAATTGAGTTTCACCTTGACAACTGGGTTGGTTTATGCTTATAATCCCAGTGATTTGGGAGGCCACTGGGGGAGGACAGCTTGAGGCCAGGAGTTCAAGACCAGCTTGGGCAACATGGTGAGACCTTGTCTCTACAAAAACAGAAAATGAGCTGGGGGCTATGATGCATGTCAATAATCCCAGCTACTTGGGAGGCTGAGGTGGGTGCATTACCAGAGGCCTGGAGTTGGAGGCTGCTGTGAACTATGACTGCACCACCACATTCCAGCCTGGCGACAGGCTCGCTCTTTCTTTTCCTTCTTTTTTTCTCTTTTTTCCCTCCCCCTCCCCCTCCCCCCCTTTCCCTTTTTTTCCCCCCCCCCCCCCCCCCCCCCCCCCCCCCCCCCCCCCCCCCCCCCCCCCCCCCCCCCCCCCTCTCTCTCTCTCTCTCTCTCTCTCTCTTTCTTTTGAGATGGAGTCTCACCCTGTTGCCAGGCTGGAGTGCAGTGGTGCGATCTCAGCTCACTGCAACATCTACCTCCCAGGTTCAAGTGACTCCCCTGTCTCAGCCTCCCCAGTTGCTGGAACTATAGGCACCCACCAACACACCTGGCTAATTTTTGTATTTTTAGTAGAGATGGAGTTTCACCATACTGGTCAGGCTGGTCTCAAACTCCTGATCTTGTGATCCGTCTGTCTCAGCCTCCCAAAGTGCTGGGATTACAGGTGTGAGCCACTGCACCTGGTGAGGCTGATCCTATTTTGAAAGAAAGAAGAAAAGAAAAGAAAAGATAAAAGAAAAGAAAAGAAAATTAAGCTCCACTTTAACAATGGTCTTGAGAATTCTTTTTGATTAGCACAAACTTTTTCCCTCCAAATGCAAATCTTTCATACGTTTTAAAGTGATGAAAATGGCACATTTATGAAGTGGAAAATTTGTAGTATTTTCCTCATTAAAATGTGTCAGTTGAAAGGATAAAAATTTAAAAGTAGAATTGGTTGACATAATTTATTTCTGTATTTTATTTCATATAAGTAGTTGTAAATAGCAAAAATTTTAATACTACTTATTCTGTAATAAGATATTTCCTCTTGATTCAACAAATCCAGGAACTTGAAAGAGGCATAATAGAAAATATTGCTCCAAATTTTTATCATTGGCAAATCTAATAATTTATATTTCGTATCTATTTTCTTTTACCCTATTTTATCAATAGCAATTATCATGCTATTCTGAATTCTCCAAATTTTCTATTCTTACAGAATAAGTGCAAAAGTCTAAAAATGCTAAAACCAATTAAATCAAAATATTTTGGAGGAAGAAAGAAAAAACTACAAGGAACTTGGGAAACCAAGATCTAAAAAGGAAAAGGTAGTAACTAAAGAAATTGGGGGATACAGGCCGGGGGTGGTGGCTCATGCCTGCAATCCCAGCACTTTGGGAGGCCAAGGGAAGTAGATCACCTGTGGTCAGGAGTTCCAAACCAGCCTGGCCAACAAGGTGAAACCCCGTCTTTACTAAAAATACAAAAATTAGCTGTGGTGCCAGGTTCCTGTAATTCCAGCTGCTCGGGAGGCTGAGGCAGGAGAACTGCTTGAACCCAGGAGGTTGAGGAAATGATATCTCAACACTGCACTCCAGCCTAGGTAACAAGAGTGAAACAAAAAAAAAAAAAAAAAAAAAAAAAGGGAGTTGGGGGATATAGTTAGGGAGAAATACAAAAGTTCTAAAGTAATGCCTGAAAGCAGCTAAAATCACTACTAAGAACTTTTAGTAAGGAAATAATAAAAAAGCATCTAACAGCCGTAAGTTCAATTTCACAGAATTTGAAAGATTATAAAAAGATGAGAAAAATAACCCACTTATTTAACCCACTGAACTACTACTCTTCATCTTACATATCTTAGAAAATAGTAAGTAGTTCAAAAATTCTAACAAAAAAATATTTATGTGTATTCCAAGAAAATCCCAGGAAACAATTTTAATCTGATGGTCATGTTTACTTTTGAAAAATATCTATTAAGGTTAGTGGTCAAATTGGAATCACTAAGAAGTTGTCCTATATAATTAACATTATCTCTTTTTAGATAGATTTGGGATGCTTATGGCATCCTTGTAAGTAAAATGTAGAAATGAGAGATCTATATTTGTAGTTAGATAATTATAACCAAAGTGTTACCAATGGATAACTGCCAACATGGAGACAAGTTTCCTTATTCTTTCAGTTTTTAAAAATGTATTTCAGGATATGAGTGAAATATATGAAAAAGATATTTATCAAGTAGCTACAAAGTTAAGTATACACTCAACATAGCTTTTTTAAAAAGTCAACTTTTCCAACTTGTTCTTAGTAAAAACAGCCTTGATCAAGGGCAAGAACTTATGAAATACTGTGTGCTAAAGGCTGGAGATCCATAAACATTAAAAAAATCAAAGAGCAGGCTGGGTGCAATGATTCACACCTATAATCTCAGCACTTTGGGAGGTGCAAAGGCAGTGGATAACTTGAGGTCAGGAGTTTGAGACCAGCTTCGCCAACATGATGAAACCCTGTCTCTACTAAAAATACAAAAAATTAGCTGGGCTTGGTGGTGGGCACCTGTAATCCCAGTTACTCAGGAGGCTGAAGCAGGAGAATCACTTGAACCTGTGAAGTGGAGGTGGCAGTGAGCCAAGATGGTGCCATTATACTCCAGCCTGGGCAACAAGAGCGAAACTTCATCTCAAGGAAAAAAAAAATCGAAGAGCATTCTTTCTTGGGAAAGAAAAGCAAAACAATCAATACAACATAGTATGAATCAAAGTGCTTACTGTTAAAAATAAACCTTTACTACCAATAATAATAACATCGTTATGTTTGAAAGCTTTACAAATCATAATACTTCAAACAAAATTCAGCATGTACAAGTTAAAGACAGTATTAGAAGGAAACAACAGAAAGACCCTAACATTTTTTTCTTACCACAAACTAAATTTGTGTTACCCAATTAAAACTAGATTAGTATTTAGTTTACTAAGTACTAATACTAAATACCCAATTAAAACTAAATTAGTATTTAGTTTACTAAAATACTCAATTAGTATTTAGTTTTAATTGGGTAACACAAATGATCTTTCCAGTCTAATTTATAATTTAAATAGACCTAAGAGTTTTGATGAAAATATTTAAAAGATAATCAAATTCGGCCAGGCGCAGTGGTTCACACCTGTGATCTCAGCACTTTGGCAGGCCGAGGTGGGCGGATCACGAGGTCAAGAGATCCAGACCATCCTGGCCAACATCGTGAAACCCTGTCTCTACTAAAAAAATACAAAAATTAGCTGGGTGTGGTGGCGTGTACCTGTAGTCCCAGCTACTCGGGAGGCTGAGGCAGGAGAACTGCTTGAACCTGGGAGGTGGAGGTTGCAGTGAGCCAAGATCACGCCACTGCACTCCAGTCTGGCACCTGGCGACAGAGCAAGACTCTGTCTCTAAAAAAAAAAAAAAAAAAAAAAATAAGAAAAGAAAAAGATAATCAAATTCACTATTAATTTGCTTGAACAGCAGGTTTTAAAACAGGTTTACCTGGAAAGATCGAACTACCTATCGTTGGCTCTGTTTTCAGATGTAAAAGGTAAAGTTAGGTGTCCAAAATTACTAGCAATAGGTGTGTAGACTAAGGGTCCATATTCCTTTTAACTAGATTTAATGTTGCAATTAAGTGCCAGGTATTATGTGCTTTGCTTTCAAGTTTCATCCAACACTGGATTCTTAGTATAAATGAACAAAAGCACCTATTAATCATTCTTTGGCTTCATTTGGCCAGAAGTTTGGGAGACTGGAGAACGACAAGGATCCAAGCATGTTATAGGGAGTCTACTCCTTTGCTTGATTATCATGGTGGAATGGAATCCTGATTTTCCTTCATATTTGCTTTGCTTGATCTAATACACCCGACAAGAAATCAATTGAGTTTTACTAAAAAATGTAAAAGCTAGAGATGTCTTTACACTTGATTAAGTGACTTACATTTTACCTTATCTTGACTAACCCATCAAACGGAAGGAATATACTAGAAAACAGTACCTTTTTGGTTTCAAATTGTGCTTCTTCCTGACAGCATCCTCTGCAATCAGGATCCAGCTGAAGCAGGTTGAACTGTCCAAGAAGATCACAAGAGCTGCAGAGCAAGTTGCTAGAGAAGCCTAACTCTCTGCATGCCTCGGATGAAAACTCTGCCCCAAAAGCAGACACCTGAAAATAAAAAATGGGAAAAACACAATTCCATATTTATATTACAAAGCTTCCCAAAAAGAGAACATGGGGTTGTCAAAAACTAACACACTGAAGATGAGTTATATTTATCATCTTTCGGCCTAGCTAAAATATGGATTAACAAAAAAAGATAAATCATTGTTCATGATGTTTATTACTTAAGTATTCTCTTAAAGATTTATTGTTTTTAAAAAGGAATTTCCTATAAGAAAACATAATTTTCATTTCAAGAACTCAACATCTGTTCATATGGGTCTATGGAATAAGATTAACTGTCGGATTTATCTACAGTCACATCCAGCAGAGGAAGGACAGCAAAGGGGATAGTGTAGGCAAGAGCATGCCAGAATTCAAACTTTTGGTTTTAGGTAGGTAATAGTGCTACCACTTACAAGATGTGTGACCGTGGACAAATAATCCTCCCTAAGCTTTAATTTCCTCACTCATGAAGAGGTAATACTTCTACATAAAATAGATTGCTATGGTTACTTTACATAAATCATCACATTTAATCAGAAATTATTTAATCAATCAGAAAGGCTGACAAAAGCAGACTTTCAACAATGTTCTTTTTCCTCAACCATTCTTTTTTACATATCATCGAATGTGGTATAACCTCCATCTGTCAAAGGTCAATCCTTCTTCTTCCGCTTTGGATTTTATCTTCTTTATCTCCACAGATACTTCATTTCATCAATACCTCAACCCTTTGGTAGAGTTAAGTCCTATGGTCCTCTAACTGCTCTTCCCATATTCTGTCATTTTTGAATTATTACTATTGCTTGGTTTCTATTACTTTTATTTTTTCCTAACTCCCCAAACTCATTAATGTAGCCTGGTTTCTGCTCCTGCTACTCCACAAAATTTGCCCAAAATTACCAAATGCAAAGGTATTCAAAATTGCTCCGCTTCAACTACCCCGTCCAAAGGCCTGCCCTCCTCTTCTTTTCTCTTCTATGCATCTCTTAAATGCTGCTGTTTCCCACAGTTCTGTTTTTGGCTCTCTCTTAGCTTTACATGCCTTCTATTTATGATCGCATCTTTATCCATGGCTTCAGATACCTATTTACTGAAAACTCTCAAATATTTTTCTTAAATGTCAGGCTTCCAAAGCCAACAGTCCACTCAACATCTTATTTAGGTGTTGAATACACACTGCAAGTTAAAAATCTCCAACAGTGAAACTTATTTTTCTCCTTAAATCTATTCTTCCTTAGGTATTCAGTATCTTAGTAAAATGGCACCATTTCCCTGACAAGCTAGTTGCCCAGATCAGTCATCCTACTGACTTACACTACATACTCTTCATCATTCTCATAACCAATTAATACATTTTCATAACTCTCTTGAAGAGCTCTCAAATCTTTTCCTGTCTCAGTGGCTTAAATGTTCACTGTCAATGCTACTTTCCAGCTATAAGGAATTCCTGTAAGTACCTTGAAGTATAAAAGTCCTACTCACACATTTTTTCTCACAGTCTCCCTTATTACCTTAGGCTCCGTTTCTATTTCACCTTGTTATCCCCTACTTATTTTCAAGAACCTGATCAGTATTGGTCTTCTAGAAAGCTTTCTCTGACAAAATAAATCTCAATCTTTAGCCACAGTACTTTTTTTCAAGAAAGTTGTGCCCAGTTGAAAAACACTACCGTTCATGACACTGAACTATGTAAATCTGACTCCTCAACAATACTATGATCTCTTCTGAGGGCAAGCATTAAGTTGTTTCTCTGTCTTTCCCTCACTGGTGACAGTTTTCATATATCTTTTGAATAAATAAATTGGTCAAAACTACAACTTCAAGTAGGGGAAATTTCAAATTGACTGCAACTTATTGATCTTCTAGACCAAGGGTCTGCAAACTTTATGCAAAGGGCCAGATAATTATGTTAGGCTTTGGTGGCTATATGTTTTCTATACAACTATTCAACTCAGCTACTGCAGTACAAAAAGCAGTCACAGATAACACATGAATGAACGAATGCGTGTGCCTGTGTTCCAATAAAACTTTGTTTTATTTTGTTATTTATGTTAATTAGTTCTACAAAAACAGGGTTGACTGAACTTGGCCCAGCTGCAGTGTGTCAATCTTCTTCTAAACTCATCAGGTAGATTAACATTCAATGGCATTTCCCAATGAAAAAAAAATGTAAGTACTCGTTGGCATTTTCACTCAAAATGCTGATTTAACATTTTATACATCTTTAACCGTATCTCTTAATAATGTCAAATGAATATATTCTCCAAAACAGATGAACCATCCCAGCCTAGTGGGGGAGATCTGTGACCTTGTTGGTTAACTTGTGTGGCTCATCTCTCTAGTTAACTGTAAGACACCTGCTACCATACTAGCACTTTGGGTAATGTTTCCATTAGTAAAGTGATCTGCCTCATCTATTTCACAGGTTAATTTGAAAATCAATTATAACAATCAGCAGACTGTATTTTCCAAAGACAACACAACCAATATGTATCAACACCTGCATCAATATGTACATATCATTTCACATGTTCTTAAAATGTGAATGTTAGTCCTCCGCTGAGAAGTGGGGTCTATGTTCCCACCCCTTGAATCTGGGCAGGGCCCATGACTGTTCTGACCAACAGAGTTTAAAAGAAGTTATGCCATTCTGAGCGTAGGTCATAAAAGAGCAAACAGCCTCTGCCTGACTAGTATTCTTTCTTTCTAGGAACATCAACTTTGGAACTTAGTCAATCTGCTGTAAAAAAAGTCTGTAACAGAGAGACAACATGGAAAGGCCCATGTAGACAGCAACTGAAAACTCCAGCTGACAACCAGTATCAACTACTAGCCATGTGAGTAAACCACCTTCAGATTTCAGGCCCCAGTGTTTCAACTGAGGTCTGAGACACCAAAGAACAGACAAGCCATCCCTGCTGTGCCCTATCAGAATTGCTGACTCACAGAATTTGAAAGCAAAATAAACAATTGTTTTATACCACTAAATTTTAGGGTAATTCTATTTTGCAGCCATAGTTACTGAAAAAGGCAGTAAGAGTGAAATCACTTTGAAAATTGTGAATTCCTTACCAAATGTAAAAAACTGTTACCAAAACCTGTAAAATAACCTCAAACGAATAATCATGCAATCATACTATTTGGTTTTATTCTTGCATTTATGGAGCACCTACTGACAAGTAGCATGGTTATGCAAAACATTATGTATTTCAAAGTCTTAACATAACTAGATTCAAATGCCATCACAGAGTAATCTTATTTCTAAACAGGGAGTATTATCATTTATCTCATGGAGTTTTGAGGATTAAAGAAGAAACTGAACAGAAAGCAAAGAGCATCCTGCCCAGTATACAGTGAGTATTTAATACATGTTGGTATTGGCTCACCTTCCACTGAAAGCTTAAAAATTACAAAACACTGTATAAATGATTTATCACTATACTAGACATGGGATAAAAGATAAGTATGGGAGACACAAGGTATTGAGCTTCTTAAGTAAACTACTTTTTTTTTCTAGCTGTTCTTTCACTGGTTTTGCAGACTTAAGGAGCTGAATTTCAGGCTTTGAATTTAAAGACATCAGAACACATTTTTAAGTATCTCACGGATAAATGCTAAACAATATACAAGAGTTTGATATTATTCCTGCCATCTTTTTATTGCCAAAAGTAACTGGCATTTAAATCTGTACATTAAGACCAATTATTAAATTTTAGATTAAACAGCCTCACTTGTGAAAAAGACAGATTCTAAGGACAGAGCTCCTGGCGAGGATAACCAGTTAGCTTTCTCCATTTCAAAGCAAAATTCACAAATTAAGAGGCTCTATTCCCTCCTTCTCCATGCATTACTCATTGTTCTATTTTTCTAATATTAATGAGTTCCTTCCATTTGAGAGTTGATGCAAAGACACTGGATTAACTCTACTATACCATTACATTAAAAATCCAATATAGCTATACATTTTGTCACACTTACACCTACACATATTAGTTGTCTCTTCACTGG